TGTGGATTTAGCCCTTATTCATTAAGAAATATGCAGGTTTCCAGGAAAAACAGTAGAATCTACCACGTTCCTTGTTTACTAATTGTGAATATTATCTCACAACTTCAACCCTGGTATTAAACAAAAAAAGACAGATACCGAATATACACAAAACTCACGCTGGTAAAATGAGTCTACTCTACCTATTTATGCAGTTTAACATTTATTACTTCCTTGAAAATAGAACAGAAAAACAAAAACAAAAATATATTTTTTTAAAACCTGAAATTCAGCTCCTAACACAACATTAAGAAGTAGAAGAAAACTAAAACACGCAAAGTAGTGATGGCTAGGCTGTAAAAAATTGATTTACAGCCAGGAACAGTGGCTCACTCCTGTAATCTCAGCACTTTGGGAGGCCGAGGTGGGCATCACCTGAAGTCAGGAGTTCAAGACCAGCCTGGCCAACATGGTGAAACCCCATCTCTACTAAAAATAAAAAAAAATTAGCCAGGTGTGGTGGCGCATGCCTGTAATCCCAGCTACTTGGGAGGCTGAGACAGGAGAATCACTTGAACCCAGGAGGCAGAGGTTGCAGTGAGCCGAGATCGTGCCACTGCACTCCAGCCTAGGCAACAGAGCAAGACTCTGTCTCAAAAAAAAAAAAATTGATTTTTGATTTCTGGTTTTACTTGTAATAAATATCAACCCTAGAAGTGGTATGTAAGCAATGCCGTCATTTTTGTTTCACAACAACGATGGCGTTTTTGTGGCTGGGAACAGAGAGCCCTGGGGTGCCTCCCAGCTTGGTCTCTCAAGTCCTGGCCAGTCAATGAGTGTGCTCACACTCGTAAGTCTCAGGACCTGGCGTCTGGCACATGGAGGCCCTCTACCCACTGGATCTCTGGCCTTCAGGGGATGTGTTGGCAGATGTCGCACCCTGCCTGACACACAGCGGGCGGGTGCTTTCACTCAATGGGTGCTCATTAGCTTGAAGGTGGGGTCTGGGGGGCTCCTGAAGGTGGCCTTATGTTTGCTTTATATTTTTTAGAACAAAATAATGATACATGAATAACTTAGAAAATATTCTCAGTGAAAACTTGATTCTTTAATGTCGGCTCTGTTGGACACTTTCTCCTAGTAGGATGGGAATTAATATTTAACATAATTAATAACCCTTTGATCCTACTTGTTTTTGACTACTTTCCTATGACTACTACTACTGTGCCTAATTAACCTGGTGACACCTATGGCATGATCAATTCCCTAAGAGATTCAGAAATCTCTTCAGTGACTGCTGATGTAATGGAATGCCCTTGAACTCTGGAGGCATGCTGCCCCTGTGAGCTCACACCCACACTGCGGCCAAGAGCAAGAGCAGGGCCTGCCTGACTGAAGAGCTCCAAGATCATCCACACACCCCTTGGCCACTGCCTCCTGTATTCCTGACACAAACGCCAAGTACAAAACCTGGGCTGCTTCCCTGGCAGGAGTTTGGGAAAATCTTCCTTTAGTATTATAATATGCACATCACAGGAGGAAAACCCAAAATGTGTAACTGTCTTTAAGTAAGAAGTATGAGAGATAAATACATCTGTAAGTAAATGTAGATTAATAATAAGGAAAATGTTTAGGACTTTCTAAGAGCTAAATGACTTTTAAAAAATGTAACTGCTCATTTTTCTTTGACAAGTCTAAAACAAACATTGTCAATGAGAACAACCGGATGTTAAAACAGTTCATTCCATGGGTCTCTTTTTGCAGGGTACCTTGTGAGAGAAAGTCCTGCTCATGAGGGCCCTTGCTTTGTGGGTTTCACCATAACTGGTCCCATGCAATGGCAGCATGTGCTTTCCACATACACACTGCTTCCATAAACATTTTAAAACATGGCTAATTGCTTGTGGAGACAGGGTCTGGCTATGTCGACCTGGCTGGTCTCAAGCTACTGGGCTCAAGCATCCTCCTGCCTCAGCATCCCAAAGTGCTGGGATTACAGGTGTTAGCTGCCACGCCCGGCTGTGCATGGTGGTGTGTGCCTGTGCTCCCAGCTACTTGGGAGGCAGAGGCAGAAGGATTGCTTAAGCCCAGGAAATGGAGGCTGCAATGAGCTATGATTGTGCTACTGCCACCAATGGCCTGGACAACAAAGGGGACCCTATCTGAAAAACAGAACAAAACAAAACAAAACCAAAACCAAAAAACCCCACATGGAAACACCATGTTTCCATTAACAGAGTGCCTTGCAAAATAAGGACTGCCTATACTTGAAATTCCGTTTAATTGCCTTAGCTACAGAACAGCTCATGTTAACAAGGCAAATATTTTACCTTGTCTTTATCAGCTTGTAAATACAGAACTGAATGCAAGTGCCAACATACTCTGATCGATTCTGACACATAGTGTATGGAGTGCAGCACCTTCACTTTTCTAGTGAACAATAACTCAGGTTAAACAACAACAAAAATGGTGTTTCTGGGAAGAAGACTTTATAGCCTGAAGCTATGGAATAATTCTTTCATAAGGGGGAAATTCTGAGGAAAAATGAACATGTTTCAGTGGAATTTGTAACAGGATGCCAAGCATGCAGACATACACATGTCCAGACATAAGAAGCAGATACATGTTCCCACTGGGACCTGTTCCAGCCGCACCTGGAGGCTCAGCCTTGACTCTCTGACTTACTAGCTGGGAGGTCTCAGGCATGTCCCATGTCAAGCAATTGCAGTCAAGTTGAATTCAGTAATGAGACTTAAATCAGGAATGAGATTTCAATCAGCCCAGGTATGTGTATTGCTAAGAATGTCCCACTGTCTTTCAATGACTGTTTATAGCTATGGCATCATAAAAATTACACACCTAGTTTTTGTCCCCAGTTCATGATATAGAGCTCCTAAAACACTTGGAATTTCTGAGTCATTAACAAGCCATTTTCAACCTAATGAAGTGCCTCTGGTGGACCCAGGATAGCTTTAGGACAGCGTCTGGACATCAGAAAGATCAAATATGCGATTAGAAGATTGGGTCCGGGCACAGTGGCTCATGCCTGCAATCTCAACACTTTGGGAGGCTGAGGCAGGTGGATCACCTGAAGCCAGGAGTTCGAGACCAGCCTGACCAACATGATGAGACCCTGTCTCTACTAAAAATACAAAAATTAGCCAGGCGTGATGGCACATGCCTGTAATCCTGAGTACTCAGGAGGGTGAGGCAGGAGAATTATTGGAACCCGGGAGGTAGAGGTTGCAGTGAGCCGAGATCATGCCACTGTACTCCAGCCTGGGCAACAGAACGAGGCTCCATCTCAAAACAAACAAACAAACAAGACTGGAACTTTCACCCCTCCCCCTCATCTCCAGGGAGGGCACCTTGGCCTGGATTGAGTTCAATGAGCAATCGGCAGTGATGTCATCATTCACAGCTACATAAGAAAGCTCCATAAAAACCTCTACATGAGGGGCCTGGGGAGCTTTGAGTTTGGTGAGCACATGGAGGTGCTGGGAGGGTCATGTGCCCAGAGGTGGCAGGGGAGCGCTGCAATCACCTGCTGTACCTTGCCCAATGCCTTGCTTCCATTTGGCTGTCCCTGAGTTTTACCCTTCATAACAAAGCAGCAAGTGTATGAAAGTGTTTTCCTGAGCTCTGTCAGTCATGTTAGGGAATTATTAGACCTGAAGAGAGGATCACAGGAACCCCCAATTTGCAGCCAATCAGAAGTACAGGTGGCCCCTGGAATGTGCGATGGGCGTCTTGTAGGACTGGGGCCTTAACCTTCGGGGTCTGGGCTAATCGTAGGAGTCAGTGTCAGAATTCAAGTGAATTGCTGGATGCCCACTTAGCTTCAGAGAATCAGAGGCCTGTGTACTGAGGCACAGGTTCCAGCTGCCTCTATAGGTTCAAGGTAGTAAGTTGCACCCTGGTCAAAAAACAAAACAAAACAACAACAACAACAACAAAAACCAGGTCTTTCAAGACTACTCCAGTAGCTCAGCTTTATTGGGAAGGAGGTTTCTGAGTAATTTCCCTGAGCTCATGATTGGTATCACTCGTTAGTGATGAGAGGTGAGGCCTGAAAAAGACCTCTCACTGAAAGGCTCTTCCCCACAAACCACACAAGTCCTCACATGCAGGAACCCAGGGGAAGCAGGCATTTGCAGGGACTCCCCGACAAATGCCCTCCCCAGCTGCTTACACTTACATCGCCAGCGGGAGCCCCCCTTTCAAGGGTGATTTGCTGTGATTCTGGAATCTCTATCTGCAGATCATTCAGGCCAAGGACTCCATCTTGGCAGTCACAGAGCGGTCAGAGAAATCTGGAGCCAGGCCCAGCCACCACGAGCAGTCAGCTCCCTAAACGCTCTGCTCAGGTCACCTGGGAAGGAGCCTTGTATAACAAGAAGAGGGAGCCAGGGGCCATCTCCACCGCATACCCTACATGGTCAAGAAGCCGTGGTGCAGGACAGGGGCTGCCACAGCATACAAGCCCACCAGCTGCCACTTTCCAATGGAGAAATGGATGGAAGTCCAAAAACTTGGCGATAAAAACCCAACGTCACTACACAAGCAAAAGCTCTGCAGTAACCAATGAGCACTCTATAAGCAGTTGGGGAGGGGAAGTGAGTTTTAGTGATTTACATCTGAACTGCAGTGAATACTCACCTTAAAGCCTGCACCTAGACAAGAAGACTGTTTTAAGCCCCACATCATCAGAACCACCGTTTCCCTGGAAAATGTCTGAATAGGCCCTGTTCTGGCACTGTAAGCTTCTCAGACTGTCCCTGAGACCCAGTGGATTCTGGTTGAGTCTCCCTGGCCTGGTGACTTAGGTGTGGCCACAATTCCTCACAAAATCTTCCAAGTCAGACCATCTCCCTGCCCACATAACCCAAGTTCTAGGGAGCACTGCAAACTGGCCTTCAACAGCACAAACCACAACTTTCCACATTTAGCAAACACTACGTAGATATTATCTGGTGGAACGTGGTCGTGGAACACGGCCTGTGTCACCAGCATCCGCTTACCTTCTCCATAGCAGGAGGGGGAGAGAATCTCTTGGCACAAGCTAGGAAGATGTCGGGGTCTGGCTTGCCATGCTGCACTTCAGGGTCATCTCCCAGCACAATGTGGGAAAACAAGCTGAAGAATTCCTTGTGGCGGCTCGTCTTCATCTCGAACGACACGGACCCTGAGCTGGTGGCCAGCGCAAAGGGGATGCCGTGTTTCCGCAGGTGGACGATGAGTTTCTCAGCCCCTGTGGAGGAGGAGGGAAGTACTGCGGTGAGGAGCGAGGCCTCCACCACAAGGCCTTCTTCCAGGGACGGTCCCTCCAGCTGTGCAGCAACACACTCAGGCTGCCCCTTTTGAGGAATTTCTGGCCTAGGGCACATTGTCTAAAAGGGGTTGTCAGCTCCAAAACATCACTGCTCAAAACAAACCAAACCAAAAAATCAAAAAAGCTATTGGGGGTTGAGCGATGCATTTCCCAAAGGAACAGAAGAGGAGCACACTGGGAGGCACTGCTGCTTTGTCTGCTGGGCCTCTTTATGAAACGCGGAGAAGGGCAGCGAGCAGGCCCAGGAGGTGACCGGACCTGGGATCTGGCCAGGGCACCGGGGAAAGCCCCACGGCAGGGCCTCGCTGAACCATAATTTTATTCCAAAGCAGTAAATACACAAGGACTATGTTTTTGGTGTTTTCCACAAAAGCGCTGTATTCTACAGAAAACACTTCAATCATTCCTCACCCTGCTAAGGAGAGGAAATTACACAAAGGCCTCCACCAGATGCTGAAGAAGGCTGCAGCTGAGGGATGGCTGTGGCGCTACTTAACAAGGGATCAGGGGACAAAAGAAAGTTGCTGAACACAGCTGATCAACAGCAACGTGCCATATGAAAAAACAATCTTCACACTGTCATTAGCCATACGGATTAACGATAGGGACCGCATGAGTTCATGGAGGTCGTCATAGAGCCAATTACGAGAGGACTAGTTATCAGAAAGAATTGAAAATACCAGGAGTCCTTCCCACCTTTAACTTATGCTGATGCACAACAGGAACATCTAAATCCACACAAGGTGTGATGGTTTGTCTAAAATTTTATTTTATTTTTGAGACAGGGTCTCCCTCTGTTGCCCAGGCTGGAGTGCAATAGCTGATCTCGGTTCACTTCAACCTCGGCCTCCCAGGTTCAAGCAATTCTCCTGCCTCAGCCTCCCGAGTAGCTGGGACTACAAGCACGTGCCACCACGCCCAGCTATGTTGTCCAGGCTGGTCTCGAACTCCTGACCTCAGGTGCTTCGCCTGCCTCAGCCTCTCAAAGTACTGGGATTAAAGGCATGAGCCACCATGCCTGGCCTAAAACTGTATTTTAAATAATTGTATAATCATGCCTATTTTAATAATATCATGATTTAATGATCCTACTTTGTCAACAGTTACACAAAAGAATCAACATAGTCATTTTTTCCAAACACCTAAAGTCACTCAGGGTAAGGTAACAGATATCTGGAGCACCTGACCCTCTAGAGATTTTTAAAAGGAAGGCATGGACAGATCATAATGTAGTTCCAGGACAAAGTTAAATAAAGCAAATGAAATAGAGCAAAATCTAGCACTCCACTGGGTGTAGAATTCATAGTGTCTAACATTCAATCAAAAATTACTATGCCTGCAAAGAAGCAAATACCACCCACAACCAGGAGGGGGGGAAAAAAAAAGCAATCAGGAGAAATAGACACAGAAATGATAGATGACAGAGATAGATGGAATTAGCAGATCATGACCTTATGTAACGGCTTTATAAGTATTATAAACACACCTAAGATAGACACTACCAGAATGAAAAAGAAAAACAAAAGACCCAACTACATGTTGTCTACAGAAACCTACTTGAAATATAACTACACAGACAGATTGAAAATAAAAGGAGAGAAAACTACATAACACATAACTGTTGCTCAAAAGAGAGCCAGGTTACTTACATTAATAACAAACAAGCCTTTAGAACAATGAATGACTATCATCAGGGATAAATAGGGACATTTCATAATGACAAATAGGTCACAGTTCATCAATAAGACATAATTCTAAATGTGTAAACATCCAATAGCAGAGCTTCAGAATGCATAAAGAAAAAAATCAATAGAACTGAATGGAGAAACACAAATGTAGAAGGAAGTTTAAAACTCTTCTATCAGTAATTGATAGAACAAGTAGACAGAAAAGAAGTAAGGATACAGCAGACTTCAGAACCACTGTCAAGCAACCTGACCTAGGTGACGTTTATGTAATACTTCTCCCAACAACAGCAGAAACCACATTATTTTTAAGTGCACATGGAACATTCAACAAGATCCTATTATATGCGATAAAAGTATTCTCAAAAATTATAAAATACTTAAAATCATACAGAATACCTTATCTAACGATGACAGAATTAAAATAGACATTAATAATAGAAAGGAATGTAGAAAATCACAAATATTTGGATGTTACACTTCTATGTAAGACACGGGTCAAAGATGAAACCACAAAGGGAAACTAGGTAATATTTTGTAGAGAACTAAAAACTATCAAAATTTCTGGGAGGTGGCTAAAACATTGCTTAGAGGAAAACTGATGGCTTTGAGTGATATGTTACATAATAAGGTCTCAAATAAGTGATCTAAGTTGTCACACTGAAAACCTGAAAGAAAGAAGTTCAATGATTTAAGCTTTTACCTTAAGAAAGTGAAGGAAAAGAGCAAATTAAACCCAAAACAAATAAAAGGAAGGAAATAATAAACACGAGAGAGAAAATCAATGAAATAGAAAGTAGAACACAGAAAACCAACTAAATCAAAAGTGAGTTGTTTGAGAAGAGCAATTAAATTAGTAGACTCCTAGCTAAACTGATCAAAGAAATAAAGAAGATCCAAATGTACCAACATTAGCAGGGAAAGAGGGGACATCACTACAGATCCTAACATCGATAAAATGATAAAAACTTAATTACTATAGGATTAATGCCAACACATTTGACCATTTAGATGAAATGAGATAATTCTTTGAAAGATACAAAACTCCCTCAAGAAGACACGAATAACCTGAATAGCCTTCTGCCTATGAAAGGAATTGAATTCGTAGTTAAAAACCTCCTTCCCACATCTAGGATTAAATGGCCTCGCTGGTAAATTTACCAACTTTCCAAGAAAAAAAAGAATGCCAATTCTAAACAGACTTTTCAGGAAATTGGAGGGAACACCTCTCAACTCATTTTACATCAGCACTTCCCTGATCCCAAAACCAGACAAAAGCCAGACAAGAAAATGACAGATCTCATGAACACATACACACACTTCCACACATAAAAACAATATTCAATCAGTGTAGAAGTACTCCACCTGAAGAGCTTCTACAGAACTTGAATCCATTAGTTAAAAATACTAAAATGCCGCACTATTTCATTAGTTTGCAACAACCACTGATTAGTATCACAGAGGACTACATTTATTAGCTAAATTTCAATTTAAACCTTAACCTAACTGATGGATGAGATAAAAGAAAGGCTCTAATTTTTTTTTTAAAGAGACAGTCACATGTGGCAGTGTGTCCTGTAATCCCAGTTACTTGGGAGGCAGAGGCAGGAGAATCGCTTGAACCTAGGAAGTGGAGGTTGCAGTGAGCCGACATAGCGCCACTCCACTCCAGCCTGGGTGACACAGCCAGACTCCATCTAAAAAAAAAAAATTAGCCAATTGTGAACTTCTGTCTGGATATAAACAGTGATTAAAGCTGAGTATCAAAACTATCTGAATTTAAAACAAGATTTTTAAATTGCTGGATCACACAATTTTAAACCAGTATTTTAAAAAAATGGAGCACATTTAAACACATGGCTCTGTAAAACACACTGTATAAAGAAAATTTTCTTAAAGTACTTTGGTGCTATTAATTTTAAACACTTAAACAGATTATTTTATTATTATTGTTTTGAGACAGGATCAGCTCTACCCAGGCTGGAGTAGAGTCGAACAATCATAGCAGCCTTGACCTCCTGAGCTCAAACAATCCTCCAGCCTCAGCCTCCCGAATAGCTGGGACTACAGGTGCATGTCACCATGTCTGGTAAATTTTTTTTATGTTTTGTAGAGACAGGGTCTCCCTATGTTAGCTAAGCTAGTCTTGAAGTTCTGTTTCAAGTAATCCGCTTGCCTCAGCCTCTCAAAGCCCTGGGCTTAGAGATGTGAGCCACTGTGCCCGGTCGATTATTTTATTTTAGCCTATCCTTCTTGCATTTCTATTGCTGTGAATTCTTTCTAAGGTACCAGCTGTAACAGTGGAGTAGATAAACAAATGCACACCAATGTGTCTAGACTAGAACGCAGCTCAACACTCTTATTGATGGAGAATGAATCAAAAATGGTTTTGGACGACTGCTTTACACCACCACAGCATACTGAGATCTTCAAAATGCTTGGGACTCCTATGAAGATGAAAGCCAAGAGAAGACTATGACCACAGTCAGAGACTACGGGACATCCGTCAATTATATGCCCTCTTTGGGCCTCAATTTTGTCATGTGTCAAAGAGTAATGATTAATGTTCCTCATGGAATTAATTCACAAGAACAATGCCTAGAAAGTGACATGGGTGAGGAAGCCTCAGATAAGTGTTAGCCAGTGTCGTTATCATCAGATAAAGCTCCAGTGTATTGTCAGGAACAAACAATCCTAATCACCTGATTCAAAACTGCCTGATGCCTTCACAAAGTTTTGCATCTTTTAAAGATTGCACACAAACTTTGTCTTACTCAGTGGCTTTCCCTGAGAAGTAAAAGACTAAAAAGTGTAAATGGAGTTCTGTTCTAGGGAGAAGCTGCTTAATTATGTGTATAAATGAACTCCAGTTCCCAGCTCCTAGCACTTGGCGTGCTTCCCTGGGTTTACAGGAAGGGCAGAGAGACAGATATCTAGATATCTGTTGCTTCAAACAATCAGCTCACAGGACACATCTCCAGGGCAAGAACTGGGGAATGTGGAGAATCAGCACTGTGGGTGGGAAAAAATGCTCCTGCTTTCCTCCATCCTAGAGACCCAAGGTGGGTGAGAACAGGGATGTGCAATTAAAGAGGATTAAACAAAGGAAAGAGGCAGAAGACAGGCAGCTGCCGCACGGTCTCAGGTGTTCTTGGCATTCTTCTGTTGGGTGATCTGGCCATCAGAACCCTACGAGCCTGAACATTCTCTGTACTACCTGAGACGTGCAGTGAG